GGGCAGTTCCAATTACGGCGGAGAATTTTCTGAATTAGCGGGGTTACACAAAGGACACTCATTGAGGGGGAAGGAAAAAAGGGCAGCGAGCGGGAGCGGGAACGCCCAGCCGGAGCCTGCTCGGTGATTTAAAGCAGGAAACTCCCTCGCCTCACACAGACACGGCCGCATTCAGCAGTGGCCAGCATCTCCGCGGGAGGAATGTCTGGCGCACATTAGGCTAATCCTCGCCCCCGAGCTGGGTTTACACAGCCACCGCGGCCATCGCCTCGCTCGCTTCCCCCCGCCCCACCGCCAAAGAAGCCCTGTCTGTTCCCTGTACCTACACACACATACGCGGATATATTTCCCAAGTATGAGCTGGAAGCGGCTCGCAAAGCAAAGGCTGGTGGTGAGCGATGTGCCGGCGCTGCTCTGAAAAACTTCTGCGCTCGGCGGATGACACGAGTCAATACAAAAGCGGAATTATTCCAAGGCATTATTGAGCCATTAGCGATTAACAGCCCCCCGCGCCAGAAAAGGCTCCCGCAGGAAAAACGCGCCCGTGCTAATTGCTGCTTTACGTTTCGGTGCGAGGAATTGCTGCGAGAAGAGACGATCCGTGTATAGAAACAGGTTCGGTGATAAGCAATGCTGGAAACCTCACCTGCCCAGAAACCCTCACGGGACACCTCGGCCGACAGCTCCGAGCGCCTGCCCGAGGTGCCCGCGGCTCTCGCCCATCCTCGTTCTCCTGCCCTGCAGAAACTCGTGTGGCCGCGAACATCACCCGGGCACAGCAGCCAACAGCCGGAACAAGGGCCAGGCTGCCTGCCACTGACAAGCCCTGCCAATCCCAATTTATGGGCAGGAAACGTATGCCAGGACAAACCAGCCGAGATGACTCAAGTCGCCTCTCCCCCACCCTCCTGTTCCACAGAACAACAGCCCTCTTTAGCAGCGGGGAGTAGGATCTCTTAGAGGAATGACTCAAAGTTGCTCTCAGGGGTAGGGGAAAAACCCCCACAGAACAGAAAACACCCAATTCCCTCCCCACCTCCTCCTCTTTTTCACATTGTATTAATTAAACACGCCACGACTGTCTTGAAGTAACAAATACAGTAAAGAGAAATCTAGTTGGACCACGAGATAAGTTTACTGAGGTCAAACCCAAGGGAAAACTAATCTAACCACATTTTCAAATTTTTTGGACTATTCCATAGACCAATAAAACCATAAAATGGCAAAAACATCCTATCCTAGAATAGCATGAGGATAACAAAAAATGTTATGTTTAATTAAAGGCAGATGACTTAATAAAAAATTCACACTGTGTACATACAAAACTCAGTATCATTTTTTCATTTACTGTAATTTTCTTTAAAAAAAATTATCACGTTTGAAGCTTTTGGGGGTACTTTTTATCTTGGATTTAAAGTTATTTGATTAGAATAAAGAGATCAGAATACTTTATAAATCTCATCTATGAACATTACGCCAGTAAGTGATTTTAAATAATGGATAGATTAGTTTATGGAGAATAACATGTTCCATCTTCTTAGCAGACAGTGAATAAATCTCTCTTAAAATAGCCATGGGTTTTCTATTAACATAAAAAATGGTAGATGCACTGTCCAACTTCATTGGAACTTTAATGATAGATTGCAGAATTGAACATGAGATCTAAGATAACAGGTGGAGCTGCAGGAATCAGGAACTGGAGAGCAAATCAGCCAACACCTCCCTGTGGACTTTATTAATGTGACTGTACCCCCATCTTGAAAAAAGCTCCAGCTTCCTCGCAGCTCCTACAACTGAAAGGTTGTTCCAGAAGTCACTTCTGATGATCTTCTTATTTTTTTTTTTTTCTAAATTTCCATCTTCAACTTATTCAGGGCCAGCTGCTGGCACAACACGAAGTGATCTGCATTGTCCTCTCTTTGCTAGCACAGTGCTTTTCCTTTTCCTGTGCTATACCACAAATGCCCCCATTCTTCCATTCTGCAGCTCCCTGGTAGGCAGCACTCGTATCTGCCTTTGACTCTGATGAGATATTTTATGCTAACAATTTTATCATGTTCCATCTCTGAGTTCTTCCCAAAGCATTTATTACGAGGTTCTTCATGAAAATAATTTAGATTGAAACAATCAGTTCTTTTTGAATGGAAACCGTGACTCAGATGAGCCAAACACAGAATATTCCACCAAAGTATTCTATGTATAGCATTTGTGTGAATTCGTGTGGCTGAAGCCAGCCAAATAACATAAGTACTCCATAATGGAAAAGCTGATTAACTATTATAAATACTTCCGAAGTACATTTTAAGGTAAATCCTCATAATATCCCTGTGAAGTGGTAGTCTTTAGTCTCCTTTAGAAAATAAGAGGCTGGGAATATTTAAATGTCTTGACCAACAGAAGTTTCCATCAGGAAGTGAGCTGCACCTAAGGAGCTCTTGGCTCCCTGTCCCATGCCACATCTCCTGAAGCACATTGTGCATCTCATTCCAACCTAATACTGAGCTGGATCATCTACAGTCACCTTTCATGGTGAAAAAACAGAACATTGAAAAATTATAGCAGCTGGTCTCTAATGGGGTAAGAAGTGCTTTCATTATTGTCCTCATTGCTGAGAAATACTGTTTTTGGAAAGGTCAGTATAGTTTTTGGTGGTGGCATTTTTGGGTGGTTATTTTGAGGGTCAGAGGCTGAGACTTTTGTCCTACTGCAGAGTGAGAATGAAGAACGGTGCATCACTGAATTTCTGGCAGTGATGGTCTAATTTCGGCAGCTTGGCCATTCAGACAAGACTGAAGTTCATCTGGATTCCCTCTGTTGTGTTCTCTGGGCGCTTTAACGTAGAAACCCAACTAGAGCAGGAAGGCAGAGAATGGGGAATGTGAGAAGGAAGGCACTGTTTTCTTCACCCTGCTCTGTGCACCCTCACAGACAAAATCTCCCACCTATTCTCCCTCTGCTATTTCCTCAGGAGACCTGCTTCCTTTATTGTTTGAGCAGTGACTGTTTCCTACTGTAGTCAGCAATTGTCCTCTCCCAAATATTTTTCTCTTCTGACTTTCTCACCTCTGTGTCTTGGTCAAAACATGAAGGATAAATTGCCTGATTGCTTTTGAGACGCTGGCCATTGGTGTTGGACACAGGGGCAGGACAGCACTGCCACTGGACACTGGACACTGGTGTTTGGACACAGGGGCAGGACAGCACTGCTACTGGACACTGGACACTGGCCATGGTGTTGGACACAGGGGCAGGACAGCACTGTTACTGGACACTGGACACTGGTGTTGGACACAGGGGCAGGACAGCACTGCTACTGGACACTGGACACTGGCCATGGTGTTGGACACAGGGGCAGGACAGCACTGTCACTGGACACTGGCCATGGGTGTTGGACACAGGGGCCATCCAGCTGACAACACAGGTGAGAGGAACTGATCCTGTCAGGATTTCAGCTCTCCACAGCGCTGTCAAAGGCCACCACCCACCACACCTTAGGGACTCCTGTTCCCCAGGGCAGTTAGACAGCCCAAGCCAGACAGTTCCTATCATCCATAAAGCCATGAGGCAGGAGAGGGAGAGGAAAAGGCAACACAGAGACCACATGCTCAAGACCACTTGTCACTCTAGGTCAGGTTTATTTACAGCAGTACTTCGTGCCCAGGACTGAAGATGTGGAAGTCATCTCAGGACTGGGGAAAAAAGCAGATGCTCCAAGTCTGGTGTTTCCCTGAGGAAGGGAGTGAGCTCCCCAGTAAATTGGCACCACCCTCAATGCTAATTGCACTGAAGGTCCTCCTCTGCCCGAGGGGAAGAGCCAAGCCCACGGGGAAGCTCCCAGCACCGCTGGGACGTGTGAAGCAGGCACAGTCACAGAGCACGGACGCGTGTGAATGTACATATCATTTCCTGATAACAGATGCAAGAGGATGTTAGGGAGAGGAGGAAGAAATGAATTTTCTCTTTTCTCCTCTACGGATCCTTTTCCCTGTCGATATTATTGAAAAAGTAAAGCTTGTGAGCACAGATAAAAAGAAACATGCATCATTTAACTAGAAAGTGAGCAAGTCCATGTTTGTTTATTTTTCCTTTGGGTAAACAAGTGATCTAGGCTCTGAGAACCTTTTTATTTAAAAAAATCCAAACAAAACACACAAAGAAAGAGACAACAAAAACAACCACCCCTAAAATTCAATCCTCTTTGATATTTACCCTTAAGCTATCCCCTATTTGTCTCTTTTAGTGAAAGTGGAAGGGCTGTATTAGCATGCTTGGCTGAAAATGCACTTTTTCCCAGCAGCTTATGCAAGTTATGGTACCTGCTGTGACTGATTCACAGCAGCAGTGTGCAGGAAGTCCCTCCGTGCTCAGTGTTATATACATAACAAACGTCACTTTTCAGAGGCACTGAGCTGCTCCTAATTTCCACTGGGATTGTTGGACTGCATCACCTCTACATACCAGCTCTCTGTAAACATCTCTTTTTCATGTATAAAACATCTCCTCTGAATGCCTGAAGTGTCTGATCACAGAACCTGAGCTGTGCTCAGCATTCAGCTCTTGGGGAACACGGCTCGTCAGATACAATGATGGGCAGAACTGAAATATTCCTGTTTCCAGTGGTGGGTGAGGACAGGAGCTTTCCACCACCCATCCACAGCTCAGGAATCTGCCACAAGCTTGTAGGAAACACGACACACTGCTACACATTTGTGTAATGCAAGCGCTGCAGCTTACATCTCTTCTTGGGGAAAAGCTTGTTAAGGACACAAAATTAAGACTAATTAAGGAATAAATGCTATCAAAGTAAGGTCTTCTGGTGTTCCTCTTCAACAAAAAATCCCTACATGTGGTTTTCTCAAAGAATTATTTTCAAAGGTAGGCTCACAAATACAAGAACCTGACCAATTTTAGCATCGCTTGCTGCAGCTCTGCTGAACTGCTAAAATCAAGCACGACTCAAGACCAATGCTAAAGTAACAAGAAAACCAGAGTACTGCTGCTGCCTCTATGGCACTTGTGAAAAGAAAGTCTTGTTAGACTCACATCAACGTAAGTAAAGCTTGAAGAACGATTTCATTTGCTCCGTTTCTAAATCAACTTTTTCAGACTACGGTGACATAAATATACAGTGGGTGAGGGTGGGGGAGGTTTGGGTGGGAGAAGGGGAGGATGGAGGAGGTTTTTTTTTTTTTTTTTTTTTTTTATAAGGGTATGAATCAAATTAAATTTGTTTTGCTGTGGGTGAAGGAAGAGAGAATATAATAGCATGAATCAGAGCTATCATCAAATATGTGGCACAGACTAAAAATTAATTACAATTACTGCCTTCTTGTAAAAAGTTTCTGCTGTAAGATGCAGCAATTTTGTTAATCGATATAATCCATCTAAAATATTCACAGGAATTAAGACCTTTCAATTACTTTCCTCTTCCTTTTAATTTTTTTTCCTATTATAACAAGGAAAAGATGAGCATCTTTGAACAAAATCTTCATCTGTTAGATGCCCTTTTGCTCCAGTGGTAAAAAGACTACTGCTAATAGTGAAAATTAGATATTAGACCACATATCATCTCTTCAGTCAGGACTGGCTCAAGGACGCAAGTCCAGGGAATACATGATTTACCACTTTAGCACAGATCCTTTTTTAGGCATTCTAATAAAGACAACTTATTTAGTGAATAAACCAAGCAGAAAAATACTCAATATCCCTTTGTCCTTCCCTGTAAGAGTGAGATAAGGTCACGGAAAAATGAGTGTTGGACACTGGGGTTTTTGCATTTTGCTGTAGCCATTTAACTATGAGACACTGGGAAAAGCATGAGGGGCTTAGACCATAAAACTTCTTTTAAAGAGGACAACATAAATACTTGGGAACAACCCCATGCATTATTAATTACTAGTTAGACAGATAACTAAGGATATATGTATTTTTCTGCTAGTAAGGAGCCACTGATTTTAATAACTAAAAAGTTAGTGAGTCTTTGCCTCCAAGCTTCTAGCGTGGAGGAAATGTTATTTAATTCCCTGTCTGAAAAACACAATAAAGCTACAGCAAGGCATCATTTGGAATCAATTCCTCACCCTAAACAACTCCAGATCTTTCCCATAGTAATTCTCTTGCACGTGCCCAGTAAAACACTCTGTATAAAGGACGGGTATACAGCATGTTCAGGAATTCAGCTGAACCACGAGCCTTAAGGACGCGATTCCCAGACAGAAAACTTCTGTCCAGCCCACTGCAGCAGCTGTGACTTTCCAGTGGGGTGTAGGGGCAAAGGAAGAAAATGGAACACAACTCCCTCAGCCGCTCTGGGAGAACCCCTTTGACCATCTCAAACACAAAGTTCCTGGCCCAACAACCTCCTTGCTACCTTGTGGAAGCTGTTCCTCCTTTTTTATCAGCATCACTCAGCACCCAGGTTCAGCCAAGCCTCTGCCAGGTAGAACAGAAGCCTAGACAACTTTGGTGAGAGGCAGATTCAACACATCCCACACAGATTATCCCAGCCTTACAGCATCTCACAGTCTCACCTCACAGGCAGGACACGTGATGGGGAATGAAACAACTCAGAAAATGCCTTTGAAACAACCACCCAGGACTGAAGGATTATTAGACAACAGCACCCACTGGAATCACTCTGTGAAACACAGCAACTGAGACTCTCCAACAAACCTTAAAAATCCCTCAAAACACAGCAATAGAAATTCTCATTTCAGTGACACTGTGGCAACCAGTATTCTGAGATGGTCTGGTGGTATAATAAGAATATACAAATTATTTTCTTTATGTTCACAACCTCAAAGAAGTCCAATTCCCCCTCACTTTCCTCAAGACAAAAATCACTGATGCTCCCAAATTTTACTAGCAATGAAAAATGAGCTCCAAATAGAAATAAAATGCAAGTTTCCAGAAGTTAACCGGAGAAGATGCTTAATAACTCTTCCTGAAGGATAAACCAGCATTTTTACCATAGCTGTGGTCATCTTTATTTATTACACAACAGATTACCACAGGCCGTGGGTTGTTAGGCTTTTTTACATTTCTGGTTAAATTATTTCTCAACTACTGTGTGTAGAAACCAAACTTCTCAAATGTCCATCCTCCTTATTTTGGCATACAATGGCAGAGCTTAGCAGGGACTTTAACTGTCCTATAAATGAAATACATCATTTGGTAAAGTTAATTCCAATGTTCCATGGCAAATAGCTGCCAATTATAGCTGCCAATTCTTGTAGGTGTTAGAAAGGTACAGAAAGGAAAATAACATTTTTCTTTGGCAAAAAAATAGCTGTATATTATATATATATATATATAATATACTATATATGTATATATATATAATATATACCAATATTGATCAAAGTCACTAAACAGAAAAACTCTTACAGCTCAGTCCCAGATATTAATCATGTTTTAAATATTATTATTATATGCAATATAATTTTGTGTATTTTAGCTATGAGGTTTTTAAATAGCTGCTAGAACATATCTTTTCTACCAGCTCTTCTCAACTGTCTCAGTGACAAATTTAAGAGAGCCTTCTATCTAGGCTCTTGGCTACAAAACCATATTAAGGGTAGACAGGAATTTTTGTCCAAGTACAGAAAATAATATACTTATGCATTTAACAAAATCATTAGGGATTTATCTAAACACCACCGACTTCTGTAGAAAACCTCCTGTAAATGCAATAGCTTTAAATTAGTACACATATTCTATTTATTTACTTTAATGGCTTAAGAAATATTTCTGAAAATAGCCTTTTAAAATTGAAATTCTATTCTGCTTTCGAAAAAGTCACACATCCTTCACATTTTCAGAATTGCTGGAACAGTTCAAGAAAAGATGA